CCTCATTGTGGACGGTGATTGTAAAAATTATGGAATATTTGTTTGCATAGAAGATTTGGATGAAGGTTCATCATAAAGAAAGGCAGCATGGGGTTAACATATTCTTGAGCACTCCACTCGCCAGCGTTCCAAGTGAGCAATTGTTTAGTGCAGCGGGCCTTATATACGAGCCTCTAAGAAATCGCTTCATGGCAGAAAAGGCAGCAAAATTAATTTTTTTTTTAAATATCCCTGCAGAAAAAGTTATCAATTGATTAAAATAACCAACTTCTAGTTAGCTTTTTTGGGGGAGTTGGATAAATAACTAGCTTTTAACAAGCTATGATAAAACTAACTTTAAGTTAGTTGTAAAGCCGTGCAAGAGTCGTGCAGACGTTGTCGGGAGTTTGTTTTCTTTACAAGTTTCTATTTAAATATCCACACAAAAATTACTTTCAATACACTTTCTGAACTTCGCAGATTCTTTTTCGTATTCAGGACAAATAAAAGGAAGATCGAAATTTTACATTATCATTTTGAAGTTATGCTTGACGGTGTTCGAATATAAACAAATATGAAATGCAATAAAATAAAATAAATAAATAAATAAATAAAAAAGTAAAGAAGCAAAAAAAAAAAATATTTTGTTTTTCTTATTGATATTTATACCCAAAAGTAGTTAACTACAAGTTAGTTGACATCTAAGTTCTCACTATTTGGCGGCCATCGCCCTTGAAAAGTAGTTAGTTACGGCCAAAGGAAATATTTAATAAATAGTTACCACTAGTCGAATGCTAGTTAGTTAATAGTTTGCTACAAACTAGTGTAGAAATAATATGCCCCATCTGAACTTTGACTGCTAGATTAAAAGACTGTATAGGTTAAGCACTCGTTCAATGTTCTAATAATTTATGTACAAAATGTTCACATTCGCGAATGTAAAATATATGACATTCGATACATCCCTATTACATATGTATACCCGTCGTTGCGTATGTAACGTATACGCCCTGTAGCACAATAAGCAGTCATCTAACACGTTTACTCGCATTTAAAAGTCATATCATTTAAAAGTATGTAATTAAATATTGGCGGGGAAGATTTTCTTATGCACATATGTATAAAAATATTACATTGTTCATGTATATAACAATTTTAGGATGAATTTCAATAGTACCAAAAAAAGTTGTAAAAATGGAATCTTATAGTTCAATAATGCATACTTGGCATTGCATGAGATTTGTAACATAAGGCATCTGTTAAATGAGCTTTGCGTCTAAGCTGCTATCCAAGGCACAGCATTACATATGTAGAATTCTATTGGGTTTGATTTCTAGGTAAAAATCGCTTAGCAGTGCAAACAAAGTAGGCATAACTGAGCTATTAGTTTCCCAAATCATAGTAATCTTTTACGCAATGCAATTTTTTTTTTATTTGGGGCAAACAAATTTTATTATATAAGATTCATTTGTTTTGGCAAGAAGAACATTTTCACCGTTTAATTTTAACATTTTGAAATATTTTAAATTGTTAAAATTAAAAAATCATAGCATTTCAAAAATTTCAAAATGTGCACATAGCTGCGACAGTTATTCTGCATTCTGTTTTTTTTTTAATTTTGTGGTACACTCTTGAAACTTCACAGATATTTCGTATTTGATGCCAATGTCCATTGCCTCTAATAAGAACCTTCTATTTGAGTGAAATAAATGCAATAAGAATGCTTTAGCGTTTTGTTTTGCTGAGAAAAGGGAGGACTCTAAAAAAAAAACAACTCGTGAGATTTTCTCATACACAGTTGAAAAGCTTATTAAAATTTAGTGTAAAAGTAAAAGGAAAGTTGGCGCAGTCGCTTCAATAATTTTTGGCAGTGTAATGGGTGATATGCAGTTGGTGTGCCCGTGTATGTACCATTAGTGGTACAATCGAAGCACGAGATAGCAGTAAGGGTATGATCGGCGCACCACTAGGTTTACTATAATGTTTCAATGGGCTAGTGCAATCAGTGCTGCCACTGCCTTAGCCTTTAAAGTATCCATAAAAAATCGAAAACTCAATCAAAATGTATCCACCGAAAAGAGCGGACATTTTTACACATTGCATCTATGGAAAGCAATCACAGCCCCTTAGCAAACTTATTAACATGTAGTCAATATTTTCCCATCCTGAGACAAGGATTCGGGAAACAAAGGCCCGTAGTTATAGTCAAAATGAAGTCGACTCTAAAGTTAATTGCAGCTTTTTGATATAATCTTCAATGGGATATCTGTCAAAAAAGCTGCAACTAACTTTAGTGTCGACTTAATTTTGACTATAACTACGGGACTTTGTTTCCCAGATCTGTTTCTAAGAATAGGAAAATACTGACTACAACTACGGGCCAAAGTTTCCGCATATTATTACTACGATTACATTCTCGGCATTACAGGTAACTACTACGGGCTGGAAAATTTTTTAAAATTTGCAAATTGCTTGGTGTTATTTAATGCACGTTTATGTAGCTAAAAATTTAGTTATTCAAAGTGACAAGAATAAGGGAAAATTTCTTGCTTGGAGAATGAGCAGCCAACTGTTGAAAATACTATAATAGCTCGCACATAAATCAAAAAATAATTCCTTCAACTTACAAATACTTATGGGCGAAGGTATCCAAATTTACACTGAGGAAAAAAACGAAGTATCCCTCAGAATTTAAGGCGAAAATGTATCCAATTGCACTGAGTGCAATACAAGAAGTACTGTTGTTAATCCAACAGTTCGTATTGATCTGCACCGAAGAGCAGTCGGGAAAGTACGCGAGTCGATAACGTTTGCATCGTAAATAATTATGGTGGAAGTTTAGCGTTGAGAGTGCCCTTTGTTGTGTCGTAACCCAATACCCCACATGGTTTGGCTACTGCATCTCTCACGTGGCCCTGGGTGAGGGAAAGTGGAGAGTTTGAGTTGCTGGCAAATGCGACTCGAAAACTCTATTAGGCAATATGGCTGCAATTAAATGGTTTCAAGACTTGTAGTAGTTCCTCCAAAGATGTAGATCGAAGTCTTTTAATAGCCATTCTTAGTGCACTTAAGACACGGAGAGAATATTCCACAACGCTTTTCAACGGCAAAGAGGAACTTGTACCATTTTTTAATGTCCTCCTACTCAGTCGAGTGCGAATAACAATAATGAGAACAAGCTGGTATGGCGCATGCACCAGCTGTTGGCAAAATCGGGCCTCATAAATACATTCCTGAGATTATAATCTTAGTGTATCCATACGGAATAAAAAATATTAGGCCAAATTTAACTTGTAAAAAGATAACTGTTATTTCGGTCCCTAGAATATTATGAAAGTGCACTGATAACACGTATATCTGACCAGTCACAGAAGAAAGCATTAAAAATGAATTACAAAAACTAAAATCGAAAAACGCTGATAACGTGACAGGTTCTCCGAATTTTTTGGAAGACAACGTTGTTTAAATAACGATCGTGCCATTATGCTAGATTGTGAAGATGAAAGTCAGGAGGATACATCCGACATTTGCGGCCCCGATGAAATTCTCAGAAAGTAATTATTGCACCGCAATAAAAATAAATAAATTTAATTGAAAGTTCTCTCAACTGGTGCAGTGTCAATCGAAATAAATTTACAATTTTGTCAAGTTTCAAGTTTGTCGCCTAGAGCGAGTAGTTATAAAGTGGCGCAGATTTGATTTACGATCCTTTAAAAAGTTTTTATTAAACACAATGTTCAAATTTTTAAATTAAAGCAGTAAAAAAATTAGTCTTATCATGAGTTTCATTTTTCCCGAACCGGTTCACTTTTCACTTTTGGTTTTCATGTATTTACTATGGGCGGAATAAAATTTTTCGGGCGAAACTCAGGATAAGGCAGATTATTAAAAAGTACTAACCTTTCCATTTTTTATTTACCTAAGTCAGCTAATTTACCTACCTAAATTATTTCTTAAAAATACATGACATCCGCATTCGCATCCGCGGATGTGTAAAATTCCACATTCGCAACATCCCTAGTTCAAAGCATTAAAAACGAGTTTGGTACAAAATTACTATGGCTCAATATTCTGTTTTTAAAATTCTGTATTCAAAACTCTGTATGTATGTATGTATAGAAAAGTTCTGTATTTTAATACTCGGAAAACCAAATGGATAAATAAAACAAGTGCGAATTTTGCAATACAGAATATTGTTTTATTTATCCATATGGTTTTCCGATTTTTCCATACAGAATTCGTAAAGCAATATTTAAAAATGAATAAATAAAAATAGGGTTTCCGATTTTTCCAATACAGAATTCCGAAAAGCAAATAGCGGTTGTGAAATTGATTGTACTATGCATAGATTTCAAAGACAAATGTTATTGAAACTTTTCAAAGTTATCAAATTATTTACAAATAAACTACCATTAAATGTTTTTGCATTAACGCTTCTGCAGTGGGATATACAAACGCGATGTCCTCGAAAAGTATTTGCTTGAGGTAGTTTGTTAAGTATCTACTAATAATTTCAGCTCGCGTTGTCGTATTCGGACAACTCTTCCTTAGTTGGTAAATATATCAATAAATGGAATTTTTTACTAATAACCCATGCACATTAAGTGCATATACATATATACTTATGTATGCATGTACACTAGTGTGTACAAGTTTTGTAAGGAAAAAATACCATCGCAGAAAACAGGGTACTCCCTTAGCTTTTTATTTTTTTATTTCTAATATCTATAACAATTTTCTCAGTAGCTCAGTGACCTTGAAATGTGTACAAAATAGTTCTAGGGTAAAATATAAACATTTTGTGAGCGTCCTCTAAATTTATACGTAGAAACGTAAAGTTATATACCAGCCCAGCCCCTCTTTCGGCAAGAGGAAAAATTTTTGAAGGTGCCCCAAACCCTATCTCGGAATTATTTTTTTGGACCACTCTAATGTAAACATTAGTGTAATTGTATGTCGTATGAACAAAGACACATTTGAACTCTTGTGCATACCTGCACATGTGTCGGATGAAAACTTACAAGATGCATTATATCAACCATGGCGCCTTTTGGGCACTCCACCACTTGGATAAGCTATTTTTTTTTCTGCTGGTGTTGCGCAAGGTTAAAGCGTTTCATTTACTAGAGATATACGAATTTACATTTTTGCTTTTTCAGAACTTTTCACGCGAAAGTTGGCACGATCTTAAAGGTGGGTTTAGCTTTTGCATTTCCGTCTGCTTTAATTGATTTGCACTTTGCAACAGATTTAATTAACAACCAAAGATTTTCAGTATTCACTTTGCAGTATTTATTGCATATGGGGGTCTGCAATTTCTCTACACAAAGCTAGCGCGTCGCGTGCACGAGAACAAAGAAAGCAAGCACAACGCATATAAATATACCAACAAAAAAGTTATATGCACAAACGATTAGCCGCCCCACTAATGTGCGCCGCACTGCAGAGTCCAAGTGAAACTGAAATGTGCGAAAAGTTATTTAGCTTCTCCAAGCTCTCCAAAATGCCAGTATATTTTAATGCACATGCAGCGTTGCCGAAAGCTTTCGCTGGAAAGTCGTCACTTTACCCTAAAAAAATCGTAATTTCGGCCAAAAAATCGTCAAATTTTGTTTATCGTATTTTTTTAACAAAATAAAGAATACAAAGAAATTACATACAATGAGTCGTATGCATAAAAACTAAGAAATTGCATTTTCCTAAAATTGCCCGCCTTTAACTTATATTTCTTTGAACAAATTGTGTAAAAGGTCTGAAACTTTAAGAAAAAGCATTCGCTTAGGTTTTATGCATACAGCCCAATAAATATGGCAACACATTACAAAACCAAATGGAACCTACATTGTATTTGGGTTAATAAAAGTGGATTTGCCAATTGTTAACGATAATATAAAAGTACAATTTAAAACACAACTGCGTTTGAAGTTTTTGAAGATTTTGATCCAGTTTTAAAGTAGGGGTCTTCACACCGAGCTTGATACACGGTGTTCGGTAATTTTTCCCAATGGCTTTTTTGTGTAAAATTATTTTATTATCGGTGTACCGCTTACCGAATTATCGTGAAAGAAGCTTGATAATTTTTCTGGTAGTTGGCAAACTGCAATCAGGTGTTCGATATTTATTCAATTTTAAATCCGCCCGCTGCCAAAAGGCATTACGCATATGAGCAAGTAAAATTCCTTAAATTTTCTGTTACAATTTAGTTTTTTAGGAAAAAAGCTACGACTCCGCTGTTGATAAACATAGTTTACCAGACCAACAAAAGAAAACTGAAAAGGACGTTCACAGTTGATAAAATTACCGAGGTCAACCAGCAATTTACCAAAACTACCAAAATTGATGTGAATACCCTTAGTGTAACATTCGCATTTATTAACTGATAGATAATTTTGACTGGACAAATTCCCTCTACTACTTTTCTGTCTCTTTAAAGTCAGCATCGGCAGTGCAAATTAACGGTTTGGTTTCAATCCTAGAAGAAATTTAATATAACTAAAAGCACGGTTGTAGAACAAAACTAGATAAATGCATGGTTGTATTTTGGATTACGTTTTCCTGTCACAAATGTTTTACATACATACATATGTAATTTAGTGGAAAAACTAAAATAAAAAATCGTCATTACGGGGAAAAAATCGTCAAACGTCATTGAACTAAAAAAAAAAAACGTCAAAATGACGACGACATCGTCAATTCGGCAACGCTGTGCACATGTATGTACCTATGCAGCTACTCGGAGACGTCAACAAAGTCCATGTCGATGTCGGTGCCGATTCCGACGCCGAAATCAGAGCGCCAAAGACGGCGATGATTATAAGCGAACGAAAAAGCAAAGTAAAATCAACTGCATGGCGATTTGACAGTATCGGGATTTTGAGCTTACCCACTCGTACGAACGCACAGGTATGTTAATGCCCTAGCTTATGCATATGTATTTATATACCCAGTACGGAGAAAACTAGTTTAAATATCGACGTTCAACCAGTTTTTTGCCCACCACAACTAGTTGAAGATCTGAGTTACGAAAATTAAGTCTAGACTAACTGAGCTTTAATTCTTTTCACTATCGGATATGAGGATCTTTGACGACAGCGCAAATATAAAACTTCAAAAGGTTTCCACTGTAGCGCTCTGTAACCCTTCTACAGTGGTTCAGAGACAGCTGCGAAATGTGCAGTGCGGAGCTAACGCTTTGCCAGACAGTCTCTAAATTTTGCTAAAGGGTGCATACATATTTATGCATCTAAAGTTCTGAACACATTGAAAACGACGAGCTACCGACCACAGCTTCCAATTTGTCATCTTTATTATCTAAGCGCTTTGTCGATGGCGACATGATTTCTTTGAACGCGGCAGCGACATCATGAATTTGTATGAGTTTGACATAAAAGAAGAGGAAGAACCTTATCTGTCGCCAGAAAAATAGAAATAGATCTAATCTGGCCACAACCACAGCCGTCGCGTAGCCCGGTCGTAGCCAAAATAATTATCTACATAAGAGTACGTGTTAAAATAATTTGACAGCTGTGGTTTGTAGCTCGTCGTTTTCATTGTGTTCGGGCTATAAGAATGTGCAATATTTAACGCGCTTTACGCTTTAATTCCGCTGAGAGAAAGCTTCTCTCTCTCAGCTGCGGCCGTTTTTTCCTACTTTGTTTCACACTATTTTCGTTTTGTTTACACAAAACCGATGGGGTGGGTCGTGTGTAGAGAAGGTTGTACACAAGAGAGGGAAGAAAGCTTTTCGTGTTTATTTTTATGAAAACAGTTCCATGCTTGCATTTGGCAGCAATCAACAGGTTGCTGGGTAGGTTGTTGTAGTGCTCGTACTCGTGCTCGTGTAAACCATTTGATAGTTGTCGGTGAAGCTTTATGTGCATATCTCATAAATACTCGTTGAAATTAAGGGATGAAATGAACTTAGGCTAACGATGAGTTGCGAATATCGCCATTTGAAATCCCATTATTTCATAATCACAATTAGTGTGGTGGGGTTTTCTTACGTTATCAAAGTTTAATAATCAATTCAATATCTTGAAGATATAAAATATCAATAAGCAATTCAGCGGCTTTAAAGTCGCTGTGACATATGTAAATGAAATTATTTTATCTTCACAGGAGCTGACCAGATATTCTTGGGAAACAATTGAGTAGTCCACTTGCAAACAGCGTTATGTGATTTTGTAATAGTAAGACAAAAATAAAAAAAAGCGTTTAGAACAACAAGTAAAATCCAAATTGTATCTTTTTTTATTATCTGAAAATTTGGATAAATAAGAGTCTAATAACATTAAAAAACAAAATCACAGTATGGTAGTTTTTGCAAATTTTATATATAAAAAATTAATATAGCGAGTTTTGAAACAGTAACTGTTACATAGCTAGCTTTTTTTAGCTTTTCGCGTTCTCTCTTCCATGAAGATTGGTCTACTTCGTTTTTTACGACGTCTTCCACTAGGCACCGAAACTACCACGTTTACGTACAGTTTTCTAAGTTCATCAGAAGATGGAGACTACTTTAAATACTGGTACGTTAACCACCAACAACTAAAAATCAGTGCAGTTGTGTTCGCCGGCAGAAGGATGATTTTTAATTTTTTAAATTTTAGATAGCGAGGATGAGATCTGCATTTTTCTAAATCAATCGGTATCCAAACTTTTTTGTTTGACCGCAAAATATCAGGTAATTTCTTCAAATTAAACTTGCGAAACGCCCGAGAATTGTCGGCTATAACGATAGTAAAAATACGTTCTTTCTCTCTAACCTTAGGAATTTTACACTCTTTGAACTATTTAGTGGCGCTGAAGATAGTGCGAGCAATCAAGAGTAGGTTGGTGCAATGAACAGTATTGCCAAGTAAAATAAATAGTGTCAAAAATAGTAAATTTATTAACTTAAATATTTTTTAAAGTGCAAATGAATTTTTTTAGATCCTTTCTCCAGCTAAAATCGTTTACTCGTTGCTCCGCTCCGAAGCCCTTGTGCGAAATATGAGCAGGAAAGAATGTTACTCATACGCCGTGTATGAGTGTAGCGCCAAATAGTAGCTTGACTTTTTTTTGTAAGACTTTAATTCAGACGAATAAAATTGAAAAGGAATCTGTTTTGTGGAACCACTTATTTTTTAGCTGAATAACGGTAAATTGGAAATATCTTTAAAATTTGTCCATAATAATATTAACTCCTTTTTCGGAATCATCGACTGATTCTACATGGCAATTGGATAGTGGCATGCTGTACGCGTTTTTTAGTACACATTTAACAGCTCACTTGAAGGGCAATGCAAACTTAAAATGAACTTATCTTGGATATATGGGCAGCCCTTTTGCTCGGAGAATAATCGTTACTTTTTGAGGTTTATTTTTCGTTCGTAGAGTAATCGTTATTTTATGGGTTTCATGTTTTGCTTAGTGAATAAACCTAAATTTTGTATATTTTGTTTAGAAACCAAAAGTAGCTTCTGGTGTTTTATTTAAGGAGTGGCAGTGATCTAAAAATTGTCAAATAAATATTATGAAAGTAAATATATATCACTCTAAATTTAAGGACTAATGATAAGATTGAGACTAATCCTAAAATAAATACAAATGAAAAGACGAATAAGATTACGACGGCGAAACCGAGGATAAAGTCGCACACGAAGATGGATGCAAAGACGAAAACGAACGCGAACGTGCACACGAAGGCGACCACAAACACGAAGACGAACACGGAGCAAGTGTTGCCAGAAAAAAGGCTAAATGGACAAAATACTAAAGCTAAAAAAGGCTAAAGTGGAGCAGCTTAACAAACATTCGACTGCTCCCTTAATGCTAGCTCTGCCTTATGCTGGCGACCTGCGGGAAAGAACCATCTACCGATACTTCCTTCAAGCCCATCCGTGTAAAAATTCATAGGCTTCGTGCTGCAACTACTGCTTCCCGTTCGCTTATTCCTAAAGGTGATGTGAGTGTCGAAAGAGCTCAAAAACTAGTCTATGCAGTCGCAGTTAATATTTTTTTACAAAAGGAAAGAGAGCTAAGTAATTTTAAGAAAAAGCTAAGAAAAAGGTATAAGTTACTAAACAGGATTTTTCCGGCTAAGCCCAGATAAAAAAGCTAAATTTAGCCAGAAATAGCTAAAGTGGCAACAGTGAACGGAGCCGAGGTGAAGGCGAATAAGAGGACGATGACGAAAACGAAGACAAAGGAGGACAATAAAGAAGCTTAGGAACAGGATGCGTACGAATGAGACGAAGAAGTATGAGGAAAGGAGTAGAACACGAAGACTAATACGAATACGAATACGAAGACAAAGTTGAATACGAAGACGAAGACTGCCATTACAATTGTTTGCAAGTGGACTACTCAATTAATAATAATATTACTATTACTATTTCCTTATCTAGCTATACCATTACTGTTGCCATTACCATTATCATTACTATTACCGTTACAATCATCAGTACCATTGGCATTACGAT